TATATATATATATATTTATATTTATATGTATTAATAAACAGCGTGGATTATAGTGAAGATGAATTATGCCAACTAAAAAAAGTCAAGATTTTAAATATAATAAACCAAAAGAAACAACACATTTTTTACACAAGCTGAGAAAGGTAAGCATCTGCCTACAGTGGCCTTCTTCCTCAGCAGAATAGGTAGTGGAGAGAAGTTGAGGAGTTGAGTGCCTGTCAGCATTGCATGACGGCCTGTTGGAGAGGGAAGGAGATTACCTCTGAGTTCCCAAAGTGCATCGGGGTGAAAACTGATCACATGGATCATTAGGAGCTAATTGAGACTTAGGATTGCTTTTAACTGCTGTCGAATGTTGAGTTTTAGGGGGGGGAGAAAGGACCTTCTCAGAAGGGGGATTGCCCATTTGGTCGTGCCCAGGACTTTGCAGATTGCTGTTGTGTCAGGACAGAGCCCCAGGGAGCAGGGTGTCCAAACCACCTCCACAAATGCCTGGGTCTCATCATTTCTGCGGGGCTGGGCACTGCACCTGCATCACTCGCCTGAGTCATCTCCCTCCAGAAGAGGAAACTACACAGGGCAGAGATGCCATCTGGGAGCCTCCTCCTTCCTCAGTGGCGAGCAAGGGCCTGTACCCATTTCCCAGACGAGGTATCTGGAGCCACGACAGCTCCTGGTGAGCCTCGGCCAAGACTCCAGCTTTGGAGCCCTGGATGGAGACTGAAATTTAAGCCATCAGGGACTGAAGGGTAGCAAGGCCCTCTGTCTCAAGGAGGAATTCTGCGTGTCTAATACAACTGGCCAGGAAAAGAAAAGGAGGTTAAATATGCAAGCTGTGAATAATGGGAGTGAACCTGGTTCAGACCCAGAGGAGGGGCAAAGTAGTTTGAATCAGCTCCCGTAAATTCAAAAATAAGCCCCTGGGTAAACTCTCATTTTAATTATTCTTCTGCTGCCAGTCAAAATCTGTCAAACCAGTCAAATGGTTACCTCCTGCTTTCCCTGCCTGCCTGTATCCACCTGTTGTCTGTTTTCAGAAAGTCTGATTTAAAGCTCTTTGGCCTGGGAAAGTCTTTGTTGTGGATTTGTGCTGTGCCTGTAACAGAGGCAGTGGACCTGTGGCTTCTACTGCAGTACAAATAAAGAATAATAACAGTGATACTTTTCTCATTTGAGGTTACCTGGGGATAAAGCTGCTGGAGGCATATGACTTTGATATACAGTCAGCTATGTCTCACATCCAATTAAGCTTAACCACATGGTCTAACAAGCTCCCATTAGGCCGGTGAGAGCCTCAGTTTGATAGCAGGGTTAGCTTCAAAGATTTGATGCTTGCATTTGTAGTAATTTCCTTCCCTTGTGCTCAGATTGTGCTGAAGGGCATGAAGGGAACTTCATATTCAGATGATACATGACCAGCTTGAGAGCTGTGCTTTAGAAGACAATTGCACAATCTTTATTGCTATTTTCGTAATCTCACAGCTTGCAATACAAGCTCCTGCCCTAACAGCCCTCCCTGTGCTCAAATTTCACTGCAATGTGAAAAACAAACAGTGAAAGAAAAACCCAGCCCTTGAAGGAAAAATATCTTGTTTGCAATATTATTATTTTTTTTCCATAGGGAAAAGCAACAAAAAAGCTGTTTTAAATGACAGATGGACCCAAGCCTTAACATACTTCAGGTCTGGAAAAAGGAGGATTTAGGCTGTAATGTTTTTAATTTCCCCTTATCTTTTGGACAGACCACATCTGATTCTGGGATGCAAGGAATCCCTCAACTTGTGAGAAGCAGGAATTCCAAATATGAAATCTGACCCCACCTCTGGCAAAAACGAGCGGAAAGCACAGGCCATGGTATGGAACAGGGCTTCAGGCCACAACTCCAGGCACCTCTGAGGCACAGTGCCTGGCTACAGGGCACTCCAGAGAACGAGCCCGGCTGCTGGCACAAGACGTAACAGAACAAATACTTTGGTGGAAGCAGTTTTGGCAATTCAGGCACCCTGCAACATGCTGCGACATCCGTGTCATTCTTGGGGATGGCTAGAACCTTCTGGGAAACTATTTCCTCTGCACAACACCTGAACAGGACATCTAGCACCAGCAATTTTCACAGGACATACTGTGATGAATATTGGAATCAGGCAAAGAACGGATACACGTCTGCAAATCCCCATCTGCCTGTCTTGCGTGGGGCGTTCGATAAAAGCACAGCTCCAGGATCAGTCCTGGCAATGGTCTGCATAGGCATTCACTCTGCTACACAAAGCCCTATTGAAATGAACCAGAAACTTGCACGGTGCATTTCAAAGGGACTTCGCAAAATACTAAGCAACAACTGTGCAGAAACAATAGCTCGTAATAATGCCAGAGCTGCTGGTGCATCCTGTGTTCTCAGTGCAGCACTCTGTGAGCCATCAGTTGTTGTAGTCGCCTTAAAAAATACAGGGAAATAAAACACGCAGACAATATTAAAAGTCTGGCATCTTTCCATGAAAACCAGGAAAATTCAACATGGCCAAGCTGACGAAAAGCAAGCTTGAAAGAAAACAAAAAGACCCCAAAAGCAAGGATCTTGAATAAAATGTCTAAAAGAGACATGGTCCAAACAAGTGGCACTTTAAAAAGCCTCTCACGAGAGTTTCAAGTCTGTAAGACTCAAAGTTGGCACCCTTTAGAATTATCAAGAGGAAGAGTTTCAAACACAATGGTACCTGGAGAACATCCTGATCACACCATAGAAAAGGCCAAAACCCAGAGCAGGTTAGCTGTCAGCACATGTGTTCCAATTGCTCTCGCTGTGCTGGGCTCAGGCTAGAAGGTCCCTGGGACAGACTGTGGCTCCCTCTGCGTTCGTACAACACAGTCAGTGTACAGCCAGTGCTTGACAACACAAACATTTTGTCTCTCACCAAGCTCTAAGACACACGGAGGTGGATGCTGATGGGGTTCACATTATGCCATGTACTGACTACTTTTCGCACAATGGCTTCAGACGTCCTATGCAAATCATACTTCTCACTGGGGCAATGAGTGAAATGGCTGAAGATATTTTAAGCAACATTAAAGCCTATTTATAGTCACATCTCCTTTCCTTCCAGCGTCCACTGAAGGATGCTGAGTGCTTCTAAATATTCCGCCTGACCTGATGCGTCACATCAGCATTAAAACTTTAAGAATCCCTGAGAATTCTGATTTAATCTAGGAAACCACTCCCAGCACGCAGAGTGTGAGAAAGAATTGCTCCACTTCTTACAGATATGCCAGCATTGCTTCACCGTGGGAAACAGTTTCAGGCATTTTGGTTTTTAATGGCACTCTGGGCATAGATGCATGGAACATGCTCTTTATTTCCCCTCCTCTGTACAGTGCAAATTGACACTTTTATCGCAGAAATAAAAAAGAATAAAGTATCAGCATTCACTCATTATATCTCTTCCAGTTCATTCGCATCATAGTTTTTTCTTTGTAAAGTGAGGAACAATGCCAGTGTCATCCTGAGGCAGATGGCTGCCTTCTTCCTTCATTTTCAGGCTCTCTTCTGCAAGCTGGGATAGATACTTCTGCAATCACATCAAAAACAAAAACATTGTTACCAAACTTGAAAACATTCAACAAGGGATGCTCTACGCCTTTTCAGAGCTCTCACACTCTTCAAGCATCTAAAAAGGGAAGAAAGCAGATAGACACCTCATTTTGGTGAAAACTCACACCAGGAAATACTGCTGTGTCAGGCAAGCTACCTGACTTATACCTCTCCTATATATGGAGAGTCCTGGAAGTTCACTGGTTTACTCTGTGCACAAGGGGAACTGGTGATGGAAACAGGAGGACCACGAGTCCTCACTGGTCAGTGTAACAACACCTCACTTTTTCTCCTTGCAAACCCTCTGCTACCACATGCTGTAATGGAGGAGGAGTTAACTCCACTAAGTCTACTGGATTATGCTAGCACAAGACTGGTGTGTTAGAAAATAGATGCAGTTTCTGAGTCACAATTTAAAGCATATATATTATATTTTCAGTATGTCCAGTTCAGAGATACACCTTTCGCACAAGAACACTTGTTTTAAGGGAATAATCAAACTTGGTAATAATTAACACAATTTAGCAGTCTGGCTGGAGTATTTACATTTATTGTGTTTCTCTAAGATAAAGCCTTTCAGCCTTTTAAGTACTCAGTGTGACTGAAAAATAGAGACATGGCCAGTGGGGCTTTCAACCTTTTGGCAGTGCTCTTAGTTGGCAGAGCCGCACACAAAATGGACGGTGAACTGGTGCAGGTCTGAAAATGGTGCTCAGAGTATTTATTCAAGGTTAACAGACCTCAAAATGTATGGAAAGGAGCTTCTTCAGCAGCAGGTAGAGACACACATGGGAAATGCCTGCATAATAACTTGGAGATGTTCTTATGACTAACACCACATGCAAGAATAACTGACCTGCACGTTAATAGGTTCCTAAACTCTCTTTTCTAGCTGATTATTAATTCTGATTTGTTTTGAAAAGACTATCTCACATCACTGCAAAATTTTTCTACTTGTAGAGTTTGCCCAGAATACAGTTTACTCTTTGCATCCACTGGGAAGAGGTGAAATGAGAAATGGATGTAAAAAAAAACAACCTAAGGGCTGTTAGGACTGCTAGCTTGTCTCATGTAAATACAAGCTTTGCATGTAAGAGGTACATCTGAATGGGAGTCAGTAATGGTAATGAATGGAGAATGGACATACCTGTGACAAAATCACGACTGCATCCTTTTAGCTCTGAATTTAGAGGTTTGGCTGTGCAAATTACACAACTCTCAGTCTTGATGTCTGGGTACAAAACTCCATGTGGCAGAAAGCCAGAGTAAATGTTACAGTAGCATACAGAGATATAGGGTCCATACAGACTGGGAGAAGTGATCTGTACACCGTGAACTGTAATAAATCACTAGCGCTTGTCATTGGATCAGATAACCCATGCCTTCTTGTTTTGTAATGATTACCCACCAAAACAAGACTGAGGTTTATGCACCACCTTTAGCTGATGTTGTCAGCTACCACTAGTACCACAAACACCGGTTTTGAAGTTCACTGTCCAGATGTTCAGCTTAATTTATAGCAAAATGATAGTCAAGGAAAAAGATATTTTTTTCAATTAAATACAAGTTTTGATTAATATTGCATAAAGGCAGTGGAAAACAGGATAAAATGTTGCACTGAGTTGCCAAGACAGCTTACACCAGATGAATCCAACAGCTTTTTGTGGTATTGGTGGGAGAGATGGCCAACTGATGGATTTTTTTAGATGTGGAAAATGCCAGTGTAAATATGAATAACACCTGGGAAAATAAATTTATTAAGCTGAAGAGAATGGAAAATTACAGTCTGCAAGGCTGACAAAGAAACAGTTAAATTTTTGTCAGTGATTGCTGTTCTTCAAGGGGAACCATACTCAGATAAGTTGACTATTTTACTTCAAAACAAAATTGTCATCACTGAAGCAAGGCTTTTGGAAGAAAACTGGTAAACAAACTGCTTAGTTTTGCATTCAAATCCAAACACTGAACTTATATTTTAGATGTGCCTCCAAGATCAGATGAAAGATGGCAAGTAGCAAATCAACTATAAAAGACATGAGAGCATTTCAGATAATTTTGTTGTCACTGGACAATGGTATTTGTCATGTAAGCAAGATGACAGAAGGGCAGTCTGCAGCAGCAGTCTCATAGCTTCACATACAGTAAACGTTAGAGCTCATAGTTCTTATGTTCATAGATACACTCATCAAATTGCATCATCCTAGGATACATCTGACACTTCTTGCAGAGTACATAAATAAACATTAGTACCACTAAAAGGGTTCTAGTAATACAGAGCAACTACTTGAAATTTGCTGAGTTTCCACTTGAGTGAGCAAAAGTTGGATGAGACATTTACTTCCTCCACTTAGTAAGATAAGAAGTACAGCTTGACAGAACAGTCTGTTTTCATTACCATATTTGACAGATTTAATTTTATCAGCTTTTGTGGTCTTGTTCTTTTATCTCAAGTTAGTGTTAGATATCTACCACAGTGCTCATGGGAAATGACTTAACAGGGTGAAAAATATTTATTTTTTTTTTCACACTGACTCAGTTTCAGTTGGACCTTCCTTCCTATGACTTTAACAAAATAACAGAAAATTTAAAAAATCCCTCTTCTTCCCATGGGACTAGTTGCCACGGGCAGGGGCTGGAGTTACAAACTTGGCTTTAGCACTTGTTCCTTTGGGACAGACTCGCAAGGGATGCACAGTCTGCACCAAGTGGTACCACCTCTGATGAATCCCTCTGGATTTTTTGTATGAAGCAAAAAAAGGCATGCAAACTGGGCACCTGTTTTTCAAGCTTACACCTGGAGAATCCATTATAAGCAAGCATCATAGGTCTGTAGGCACAGCCTTTGAAAGCCAAAGGCCTTTGTGTGATTACAGATATGTAACTTCAGGAAAGTCAAGAAGAAAATTCTCCCAGAGAAATTATTTGACTTCAAGTGTCACTAAAAAAAGCCATGGGAAAGATAGCTGTTACTTGAAGAGAAGCAGAGCTCCAGCATTTACCGGTGGAGGGAAGGAACAAAGACAGAAGGAGCAGCTTTGCTTTGCTGTTTTGTGACTTTTGCTAACAGTGTGTGAAAGCCAACAGAAGTGTCACCTGCAGTGCAGACAGGCACAGCTGCCTCCTCAGGGCAGTTAATGCTCACGATGCCACGACTGACACTGTCAACTCTGCGTCTGAGAAGTGATACAGGTAAGGTCTTTGGATTGAACTGCAAGCAGCTGTGGTCTCTGCACTGTCACCGAGTGCTGACGGTACATTGCGATGGAAACCGTGCAAGTTGTGCCACGCTTCTGCACCTCTGCACAGACATTATTCAGCAGTGGAGCTGTGGGGCTGAAGCCACATGCTGCTCTGTAGCACAGGGAGGCAATTTCAGCAGGTCACAGGAAATGCCTTGGAGGGCCTGTGCCTCACCGAGTGCTGCGTGCTGAAACACGCCACAGAAGTTCACATAATGCAAAAATAAGTCTGGCAACACTATTAAACAAGTGGCGTGTTTAATGTGCCCAAATTAAGAAATAAGAAAGGCTGCTGCGGGCTCGCTCCCAGTGATAGAAACGTCTGGGACCCTCAAGAACAGAGAACTGAAGATCTGAGTTGCATGCTGTGTTAGTGACAAGGACCAAATGTACATGGGAAGATAAAAATATCACCTGGCTCCATTTTACTTATGACCCAGAAGCTGATTTCAAGGATCTAACAGTGAGAAATTAATGTGCTAACGATTGGTACTACTGAAAAGTTTTGCTTATCTAAATTTCACTTTATCTGAATCCTGTCCACAGAATAAAAGCTATTTTTTTTTGTATCATCATCTATCTTACACACAATCTACCCCATAAACTAGCTGTTAACTAGCTTCAAGTGTGATTTTACCTGGAGGTTTTTGTAGTGAACAGTACTTCTGCAGTGATTTATCTTTGCTGTCTCTTCATTTGTGTAGAAGAGTCCACAGAGCTTGCAGTAAAATCCAGTTCTAGGCACCACAAATTCCACACCTATTGAGAAATTCTAAATTACATTAAAATATCAGTTGGAACCCTTCCCCTCCACAATAAACTTGTTTTCAAAGAAAACAGTTGCTGTTTAGTTAAATGACATAGAGAGGAAAATGGAATCCTTCTCTGATTTCCCTAATTTTGCAATACTGAGCTGTTGTTTAAAATCCTGTGCATTGCAGATACACCTTCCACTTCTCTCTTAGATATCATGCATATTTTAAAATGTACCTTCTTGCACATTAATTGACTGGAAACTTCACTGTGTAACCTCAAGGGCTACAATAGCAGTAGTACTTAGTAAATTCATGCTTAAGTTACACAGATTGCTTTTTAGGATCTAATTCTTCCAGAGGTTTTACTCACGATACTGTTTACACAGTAAAAGCAATACTTTTGCTTATAGTGAAAGTATGAGCAACACTTTTATCATGAAGACTTTTAAATTACTAAGCATTTTCCATATATATTTCATATATAGTCTGAGGGACTTTGTTTCATCCATCAGCAACATTAACAGCTAGCTCCTGCTATTCATCTGGAATGAAATCAGCAATGATGTATAACCAAAAGCCCATTTATTTCAACAGCTACTCCTCTGTCATATGCCCTGTTCCCTCACTCTCCTCCCATCTGTTCTGAAAAACAAATATAGCAAGTAGCCTTAAAGTGACATCTGGTTGTAAGTTGCAGGTATTGCAGGGGCTGGCGTGGCAGGCCGAGGGTGGCTGGGCGCAGGGACGTACCCAGGGGAATGCTGAGCTCCGTGAAGACGTCCTCTTGTTCCCAGCCTGGAGGAGAGTGTCTTCTTCTAGACTCTACCTCCGGGTATTCCGGAGATCTTGCTTCCACATACCTAGAATTTGCTTAACAAATGAATAAATGTATTGAATGAAAACAGTTTATTAGTTTAAAAATACATTTGTAAATGTCTTGGGAACACTTTCTGGGTGGATCTATGAATGAAGTAAAATCTATGATTTGAATTCCATTCAGATCAGAGGTCTACACAGCACAACTCCAACAGCTGCACTACACCGTGCCCTCACCCCTATTTCTCCCAGTAGACCATTTTTCTATTTCTAATTTCACGTTCATTATGTTTTTTCTTCTCATATTTTAATCTCAAAATAGATCTATAACACTATACATGCCCCTGGCACAAGCGTGGTCAGCCTGCAGCTCCATAACTGCATATAGTACTGCATGAGCAGTGATGGAGCTGGGCTAACCCAGAGGCTGCTGAGACAGCAGGGGCCAGCAGAAGCTGCTGAGAGCAAATCCCCAAACTGCCTGAGGAGCTGCATGGGCTGAGCAAACCTTCCTCTAGCAGGATCCCTTACAGCATCACTGTCATCTTCTCCCTGGAGCCACGCTTCTCCTGTCCTCAGCTCTCCACGGGGTAGCGTCTGCTTTATAGCTCTTGGCCACTTGAAGAGTTTGGTTCCTAGCCAGTAGGGATGGGATGGTTGGTCCCTGCTGACCAACATTAATGGACACTGGCAGGAGATTCAACATGTGGAAAACAGTGTGGATTGATTTGCTGAGGCAGATACAGCCAGTCATAAGAACAGATGCTCTCCTTTCCCAACATGTGAACTGCTTGTTTTTTCACAAAGGAGAAATCTGTTATCACAGAGCAACAGAATTAAGGATAAACTGGTCTGATCCCTATTCTTCAGTTCTCACATCAAAGAGCTAGTTCCCTTAGCCTGGCAAAATTTCTACTGCGTTGCAAATTTCACCTAGATAAGGGACATATTTTCTCATAAAACAAATATATTTTTGCCCAAACCAAACCCTTCCTGCCTTTCAAGTCTGTAGTTCAAAGATCTGCAATTTCTGGCTATGAGAATGAATTTTTCGTCATTGTTTTAAATACATCTATTACATGATTTAAAAGAAAATAATAGAAATTCTTGACTGGTCAGCTTTCAAGTTAACTTTAAGCCCATCCCAAGTTTCCAAATCTGCAGCAAAGATCCTGGAAAACCTGCCAGTTTCATTAAGCTCTTCTTAAGTCACCCAGGGCCTTTGTGGCAACTTCAGTCTCACATAAGTTGATTTCTGGGCTTCTGAGCCAGCAGCTGCCTTTGCAGAGAGCCTAGAGCCTTGCACTGCAGACTCCAGCTATCAAGTCCATGGCAGAAACCTGGGAAGCACGAGCTCCCCTGGAGCTTCCAGGCTCCCTGCTGGCAAGATGGAAGCTGAGATTCTGAAAACACCAAAGTAACTACACTCTTGAGATACCAACTTTTTTGTTAGCTGGCTGCCCATGAAGTGGGCAGTGCATGGGGGCCAGCCTTGCCTTCCCCAGTCCCAGGGAGTCTGCATGGCAATGTTATCTCCAAATATGTGAAGCCTGGCAAGGTGTCTTCGGGCCTAACAGGTAAGTATTGAAAACTGAGTGACTTTCAAATCTGTCCTGGAGCAAGAAGGTAGTTCAAAACCAGACACTCATATTAAATGTTCCAGCATTTTCTGGGGAGAAAAGGCACCCTCAGAAATCTTCCAGTTACTTCTGTTCACAACCCCTTCTCCATTCACATGGGCTCTGTTAGCAAGAAAAAAAGAGCATTCCTGGCCAACATGCTCTATGTTATTTCCCACTTCCCCTCATTATATACAGCCCAGTCACTCAAGTTTCATTTGAAAGTGTGACGAGGAACTGAACTCACTTTCAGACACTCAAGATGTTTTTTCTTCCTGACAGCTAAAATATTAATAGGCAGCTATGGTTACATTTATTGGCATTATCTCACAGCATGTCCTATCAGTTCTACTAAAGGCAGAAGCATGTGGTGGATAACAGATGATAAGGCAAGTCCTGGCAAATGGCATATATTTGCATGAACAGGGCCTGAGAAGTAACAATCTGCGGATGATTTCCATGTTACTAACACTCCAGTACAGTGTGTAAGAATACCCACCTTGTCCAGCAGCCAGCCAGACATTACAGATACTTTTCTGTTGACCTTCAGCAACTGTCACTCATTTCATTGACAATTCAAAATAAATTTAGCAAGGCACTGAAAGAGTTTAGCTAAACTCATGTGAACCTTGACATGACAATTATAGCAGCTTATGCCTTTCAGAAAGCTTGCAAGCTGCTGATCATATTTCCTTTACACTATTCAGCTAAGAGCCTCTAATGGTTTAGCTTGGCGAAAGGCACTGGGGTTCTTTCACTGAGCTGCTCCAAGGACAAGTCTTGATACTATTAGCAACATTTATTCTTGTTAGTAATAAATTTCAGTCTACTGTCAGAGAAAACACGCAAGGCTCTGTGGGCTGAAAATAAAAAAAAAAAACAGTACTTACCCTTGGCCTCTGGGCACTCTTGGCTTCCGTGTCTTGTTTCTTCACTAGCATTTTTAACAAGCATTTCCATAACTTCTCTGCTCTCAGCTCCTTGTGATCCCATCTGTTTGTAGTCATCTATAAATGTATCAGGGAGCTGCAGAGTCTCTTCTTTCAGATGAACAGAAGGTATACGGTGATCTTCAGGCTCTAAAGGAGTGTCAGAGCTCTTATCAACTTTTCCTTCCCTCTGCTGGGGATCGGACTCCTTAGCAGATTGGTCTTCTTGCAATTCCTCTGGCTTCTGCTGAGGGTCCAGATTTAGGCTTGATGCTTCAGTTACAGCATCATCATTATCATCCTCATCATCATCATCCTGACAGCCACTAGAAGCTGCATTGCCCTTTGCTGATCTGAAGCTTGTTTCTAAAGCTTTATGGGCAAACTTGTCTTCACTCCTGGTTAAGTGGCTGTGATCATTTTTCAGTTCTAACATGGATGACACACAGGAACATGTTTCTGAAGCAGTTTTATTTTTTTGATCAACTGGTACTATTTCTTCAAGCTCAGTTATATCAGGCTCCATAATTAAATCATCTTCTCCCACTTCATCTACTGTCACTAATTCTTCCATGTTAGCAGGATACCAGGTCTCACCTTCTATTTCACTTCCACTCTCCCAGTCTCGGTCCTGTCACAAAGATATAAACATCTGAGGGATCAGTGATTATAGATCATCACTGTCAACTGTGGGTTTTGAACATCAGCAAACAGAGAGAACTTTGATTTGGCCATACCTAAGCCCTCTTTTATCTTAGTTTCAAAGAACTACATGCCTTACTGTTGCAACTTTAAATCTTTTTCACAAGAACAAATGATCTCTTTTTAATTATTATATAAACTTAACTTTGTGGAGATTCTGTAACTGCCTTGGGGATTACAGTCTCTCCAGACTCCTGCTTTTTTTTTCTGGAAGCAGTAGAACAAAGCACAACCTGTTATACTTGATTATGTAACTGATGCTACTATGTGCTCCACAAGGAAATGAACATCTCCCCTTCCTCTAACTCCATCCCATGATGGCAAGAAATAGGCAGCACAAGAATATACTGAAACCCAGTCTAGACACTGTGGCTTTCACTTTGCTGGACTAGGTCCTTCAAATTCCTATGATGACTGAGAAAATGTGGCTACCTTCTGCAGTCATTTCCTTCCACCAGCAAGACCCCTCTGCCAGGGACTGTGGTGGTAGAGATTGGCCTAGACCTTAAGAAAAACCAGTTTTACAGTTATACTCCAAGGTACATAATCTGAAATACCTCATACATGCAGTTATAGACTTACAGGACTCAGACGCTAATATTTCACTTCAGCAGTAATAGAATTATAAGGTATATGTTACTTTTAAGACACACTTGCAGTTTAGATTTCAATTCCCAGACTCATCATGTACACATAGTCTATTAATAATCTGTATTCTCCTCCTGTTTGTCCATTCCCACACTTCCCCTCCTAGAATCCTAAAACAGCATGAAAACTCTGGGAGTTGACACCGTTCTTTCCAGGAGATCAGTTTTCTACAGCAACACATATCAACAGCTTCCATATCTGATGATCAACCCATGACCCTACAGATATGAAGCTGGAGGAATTCCAAGGACATTGCTGTCCCTGGATGCGGTGCTGCAAGAGGGGTGTTGTAAAACCATTATTTAATTAAAACCAGAAATAATGAGAAGAGGTTACTATCTACAGTCCATCTAAGGACAATGTTAGCTTTCATCATTAGTCCCCTCCTTCTGCACTAACTGACAGCATCTCCTATTTTTGGGCACGGTTCACGAAGTCACGCAGTTCACTCAGGCATACGTTACTTACAGTTGCCAGTGCCAAGGGCTATGCATGTGAAGCAATGTACATGGGCAAAGAGCTACTAAAAATGTTCTGGAGACTTCAGGAAAAGCTATCCGTTAAAGCAGAGGTCAAGATAAGGCAAGTTAATTTAGACAGCCCCTTTCTACAACCCCTTTACAAGCCTTTCCATGGGGGTTTAACATTTCAGCTGGGAGAATGTGCTACCAAACCTGGGGTTTCACTCATTTTGTCATGGAAGCTGCACCAACAACGTGCCACTAACCTTCTCTTTCCTTGTGTTTTCCAGAATCTCTCCAGATTCTTTTTCTTGTTTATTGGCGGAAGGTGAGCTCTTCTCTGGAACTTGCTCCTCTTTTCCAAACTAAAATAAATACAACATATACACGTATAGCAACACACAGTGGTGCTCTAGCATGTTGCTATTCTGGGTTTAGGGAAGCAAAGTCACTCACAAGGTCACATTCTTTATTTCTAAAGTTTATGCAAGTCAACTAAGCTGTGGGAAAAGACCCAACAGTCAGATTCCATTAGCAAAGCTGCACAAATAAAAATAAAGAAAAAGAAATTTAAATAAAATTAGAGAGATGTAATTTATATTATAGAATTGGCTAGAAGACAGCTGGGGGAGAATGTGAATTTGTTAAAATTTCCAGCCTGCACTCCTCTGTTCTCTTCCCACATCTGTTATGTTGGCCCAGAGGTGGTAAGGAGAGCAGCAGTGTTAAAACTCTGCAGAAGACCTCAACTGTTTTGTTTATTGATGTAGGATCAGTCGAGAATGCAGCCCTGGAAGAACAAAATCACAGTACTACCTGGCACTTGGTAAAAGAGGGGCAAAGCAAAAGTGTGAGTTCAAGACTTTCAAACTTATTTCTTCCTCGAAAAATGAATAATTAGCAGTAGTCCCTGAAGAGGTATGCCTTTAACAAAGCCACTTTAAAATAACTTGAAAAAGGTGAAGAGGAGTGTGCAATACTGGTGATTTAGGATGCTGTCTGACTTTTCCCTCTGACATCTCCTCCCAAGGAACCAACCATCATGGTGAAATACCAGCAACAGGAGAGAGATGACAAAAGGTGGTACAGACACACTTATCTATGGCATGCGGTAGCACTGCTGCCTGTTAGAGAGGCTAGCAGAGTTATGAGATCTAGAAACTTCCACCAACCTTGTCCCCACGTGAGAACAACAAACACAAGGTCAACTAAAAAACAACCGAAAATGTCCCTGACAGCACCAAGATACAAGGTAGAGATGGACCCCTGGTCAGCAAAGCAGCTCTGCAGCCTCCTGTGCCAGCCTCCCCGGGGGTGGATGGTGGCAGTATATCACCAGGGGCACTGGGGGAAGCACAGTGGCCAAGAGCCAGTAACAAGATCCCCACAGGGTGGGGATTTAAGCATGAGCTCTACTGGGACTGAGTGAAGGAGGCATCTTAATCTGTTCCCTCTCCACTTTTTCTCAGTGGAGAATCAAACCCACAAATGCTGCCACTTCCCTGACTACGAGTATTTCTCCAGAGATCCTGTAATTTTTCTGGCGAGCTGATTCTGTGGTTCTGCCACAGGAAGAGATTCCTGCCAGAACATTGAAGGGAGTGGTGTGAATCACCCCTGCCACTGCTGAGGGTAGGGACATATGATTTATAGAAATCAATTGCTCTGCTAAGTTGACCAAAAAAGAAAATGTTCCTTATTAAAAGTTCATTCCACATTTTAGCAGTACAAAACCCAGTTCCCTATATTGTCCTACAAAAATTATGCATCCCTGTAACATACCACTTTAATTCCCAGATAATCCACATCACAGGTAGTGGAAGGAGGTGATGGATGCAGAGAGAGCAGCTATGGAGTATTCTGCACAGGCTTAGAAGAGAGAGCAGTAGGGCAATTGCCTCTGCACACACAAACTGCATGCAAACATCACATTGGCACTTGGTTTTGTTGTGAGTTGTCTGTCGCCTTCCCCTCACTGGTTACCCAGAGGTTCTGTGCTTGACACATAAGGACGACGTCCATGCACCCAGCACTGCAATGGTGCAATATATCTGCGTGATCTGGACAAAGACGAGGGCAAAATGACTTCCCAGGATCTATTCTAGGACTCTATTCCCTCATTTTATCATGGCAAAACATTGCATGTCACCAGCACCACACCCAAAAAAACTTATCTACAATATTTCAGAAAATATAATACTTCAGCATTTGCTTTCTTCTTACATACAGTTTGAGATCTCTATTTACCTCATCCTCAGGTAGTTTGGTTTCCTTCACATTACTGTCTTCAGCAGCAGCATCTTCCTCTTGGTCTTTTTCAGCTTTCTTCACCTTATTTTTATCACTTTGTTTTTGCCTGGAGCTCTCAGATGCTTTGCTGTGCCTCTGTTCAGCTGCCTCATCTCTGGTAGTGTCCTCGGTGTAAGAATGTCTGCGTTCCCTTAGCTTTGCCTCTTCCTTTCTCTTCGATCTCCCAGGTAAATCCTGCAGCTGTCTCTGAAACTTGTCAGATTTTGACTTAGAGGTTTTTCGGTAATAGTCATCTTCCCTGCTCTTGTAGCCAGACAAAGGGTGAAGGGAGCCAGGGGAACCACTCCTTAAATATTTTTCTCTGTGCCCTCTGCCTCCTTCAATCCGTTCATCCAAATCAAACTTGTCCAGCTGTCTGGAATAGTGTTTCCTCTCGTGTACCCACATGTCAGTCCTGTCCCGCTTCTCATCCCCATTCTCTCGCCATTCTCTGCTGTCTCTTTCCTCTTCCCGTCGAGAATACAGGGGCTGATCCCATGACTCTCTCCCATTTCCCCAGTCGGTCCTGCTGGTGCCCAGCGGGCTGTGGGGTGAGCTGCAGGACGTGAAGCTGGGCGTGTGGGATCGGGGCGACAGGGAGCGGCTGATGGGGCTGCGAGAGCGGGGCCTCTCCGTGCCGTACCTGCTGCGGAGGGAAGAGGCGCCTGTCACTGGCCGGCCCGCTGCGGCCTACCACGTTCTCACAGGCTGGAAACACACGGGCCTGCCCTGGGGACCGCCAACCCCAGGCCCCAGGCCTTCCACAGACACACTGCACAGCTGCAGACACAGCCAACAGCAGAAAAGGCAGGGTCACAGCCACAGAGCTTAACCAAAACCCCACAGATCTGTTAAGAATATATCCATTCATTCTTAAAAGCATCTCACAGGGGTTTAGCATTAAAAGCTTATAGTATGTTAATACCTTTAGAATGACTCTAATGTCTGTACCCTAAACACTCACTCATCTAGGACACCTCTGAGACAAAAGTGACAAAGGTCACCTGTTTAAAAGAGATGTTTTAGGACTGTGGCTCCTCTCCATTTTTGCTGGAAGGTCTGGAAGCCAGGCAGAGCAGAAATATACCCAAATACACTGTAATGTGAACCAGCTCCTTCCCTCTAGATCGTGCAGCATTCCCAGCCTTCACACTTTTCACTCGAGGAAGACAGTGGAATGGCTTCATTTGTGGGTTCTTCACATACCAGGTGTATCTTATGAGTCATCATCAGTAAGAAATAGTCCATTTATTTTCATAATATGCACAGTTTCAATCTGATCTCATTATATAGGCCCTGCACCTACTATCATACCCACTTAGGTTTTTGACAATTATTTGAAGTGAAATCCAAATGAAGAAAGCAAATGAGCTAAGAGAGGGAAGCACATAGATAATACTTTTTCTACCTGCAGGTTTACAGACTGATCCAGGTCCCAGTTCCAAACTATGGAGAAATTTTACCTGTCCACTTCACGCATCAGGTCCCTCTCCCTCTGTGAGTGGATGTCCTGGATGATAGCAGCCACGTTCTTACCTGGTTTCTACACAAGACAAAGACACAGTTTAGCATGCTGCAGTACTCCCCAAGCTAATGTAGGTCATTTGTCCTTCAAGAAACAGCATCCATGCATCATTCAATTATACTACTGCAGAGAAATATTTGGCTTCAGTGTTGTAGTTACAGTCTTTTCTGCAGCTGGTACCTCAATAACATGATCAAAGCAGTAAAATGATACAAATGGAAAATCTGCTCCATTACGTTGTAGCACCATCTCATACTTGGCTGCTGTAACAGGCTTTGAAAAGGAGCTTGTCCTTCCCTGATAAGCATTCACTACACAGCATTTTCTAGGAATTGGATGTAAGAAGAAACAAGCCAGAAAATTTTTCTAGTATCTGAATTAAATATGTATAGCAATCTATCTCTGATCCTCTAGGAACAAACTGCCTTCTCGTCATCTCAGCGTTTAACTCATATTGGAGTATAGCTCTAAAAGGCTGTGTTTACACACAAGAGCTTCAGAAAAACTAAGTGCAAGAAAGATGCATACTGGAAGTGCTGATTACTTGAAATTCAAGATAATTTACAAAAAATGTGTTACTCCAAGCTGGAGTGCATGCAATTTGTCAAATGCTTGGAGCAGGCACAGCTGAGCAACATGATCATGCCGGAACTCAGCAGAGTCTGTAGCGGTAAATAGCTCACACATATTCCCCTTTCCACGTTATGCTTTTGTTTGTTTGTTTGTTTTTAACAAAGAGAAAGGCTTTTGCTTATGCAGACAAAAATAATTCCATAATCTGAAAAAAACTGTCACTGGAAAGGCTGAAAATCTTCCTGAAACCTGGGCAAGCTACCACACCCTCCTGGGTAATTCCTGTTCCACCTCTATGTTAAGATGCACAGCTGCTGCCACCTTACATCTGAACTCCTTACTGTACCACACTAAGAAAGAACTTAAAATCTGGTTTATGAACTTTTGATAACTCCTTTAAGTCTCCTTAAACTCTTTCACATGTACAGGAGAGAAAGACTTTTCCAAAGGTCAGACCAAACCATCTGAGTTACTTGTTTTCCCCCAAGGTTCATAAAAGGCCCCTTGATCTCTTAACTCGAACATTACAGAGTTATTTTACAAAATGAATTTGTGCTGTGTTTGATAGTACAATATGAAACTTTTTAGCTCTGCATTGCCAATACCATTCCAAGTATCCATGGGAAAGAAAAAAAACCCACAACTTCCTTAGCCTTATACATGGCTAATACAAGCTTCTGTAAATAAGCTCACTAGAGCACTGATTTTAGGACATCACACAGGTGTCCACATCAGAAGCATCACACTGCAGAAAATCCAAAGACCATTGCTTTGATCTGACTCTATGTAAAAAAAAAAAAAAATATATCTTAAAAAAAAAAATCCTGCTTTTTAATTTATGTAATTCACAAGAAAAAAAGAAAAATAACTCAGTGTGATGTTTTGCCCTGCCATTGCTGCATGGTACAGAGATTGTACTATGGCTCAAGCATGCAAGCAATGAAAAGTATTGCTTCAGGCTTCACGCCTGACTAAAAGGGTCAGACCATCTTATTTTTGCTGACATGTACCTTACACATGGCTGTGTTTTAGACATTTATCAGACCAAGCAACGTGGGGAGCCTGCTCAGAAGGAAGCTCAGAAAGGGTTTTAGAAATAATGGTGTGAGAGAACCAGAGAAAATGGGATCTCTTTCAAGAGTTAAAATTTAGAACAAGAAGCTAAATATAAAAGATTGTAAACACACGTTCGTTAATTCATCTTTCTTAATTTATTTTTCCATAATATTAAAGCATTAATTAGAAACCAGTAATCAACAAAGGTGTTTAGATGTATTCTCCAGGACATGCCACAGAAACTCAGGAAATCTGATCAGGAATGACTATCTTACCTTCAGCTGCAATTCCTTGTATCTTTTAGACATCCTAATAAGTAACTTGTCATCATTTATCATAGCAGGCTTTTCCTTGTAGTACTGCACCATAGCTTGTGCTGCTTCACTGTAAGCCATTTCCAGAAAGGCCTAGCACAAATGGAGAGAGCTTTAAATCTAACACCTAATTAAAAATACAGAGTATAAGACAGAAAAGGCAGCACAATAATTTTCATTTGGCTTCTTCTCATGCTAAATGTCTTGACAGTACAGAACTGGGTAGCTTTCCAGCCTGAGAGATGAAATAGTAACACTCAGTTCATTGCTCAGCCTTCTTTTAACTGTAAATAATGGTTCTGACTCAGCTATTACAGCCAATAGGCAACTTCAGAAATGAGTTTAATAACTGAATGACTGGAATCCAGTCTTTCTTGATATATGAAAACATCACCTTTCCCTTCCTTCCTCTCTGGTGCTTCTACACCATGGTCAGCTGCTGACAGGATGCAGAACTGCAAAGCTGCAGCATGCCCTGCTCCTTAGATTGTCAGCTGTGTCTTGCAGAATTGCAAGGGATTCAGATAAAAACAGAACACCAGAGCATGAGCAGCCAGAACAAAGCCAAAAAGGTTTAAAAAACCTGAATGATATTAACCAGCACTTTTATTTCCATGAAGATTGCATTTGATTTGACTGCAGTTTAACCGGTAAAGGCATATGCTCACAGCTGTTTAATGACTTAATTTTGCAACATCACAATCTCAAACACTGCCCACTGGTGAGGATTCTACATCCACCTGTGCTGTCTGCTGCAGGAGAAGATTTTCTAGTCTTCCCAGCCAACCACCACTGGTAGACTTAAGCTACTTAAGGTAGACTTAAACTACCTTGAAGAAAAAGCTCTACTACAATCAGGTGCAGATGAAAGGGGAACGAGTGAGGCATTGGTGCCCCCTGTAAGGGTACAGCCTTTCTTTAGCACGTGTGAGACAGGCCACCCGGTGACACCAAGGCCTGGGGCTCTGCCACCAGCCTGTGACTGCAGTTACAGCACTGTGGGATCTGCCTCTGCTGTAACAACAGTTCAGCAAACAGCATAGGGCAGCTGAACCAAGCTAGACTGCAAATCATTCTTCAATGCCCAGTTCAGCTCTTTTGAGTATGGCTAAGAAAGCAATAAAAACCTCACAAACAGAACAAAGAAGTCTTAAAGTAACCCTAACAAATGGCCAGGTTATTAACTTTAAAAAGAAAAAAATATACTTCATTGAGATTTCTGGGTGTTTTCTAACAAGAATTACGAGGCAGTGGTCATGTTTATGCTATCTTCTCATTCTGTGAACACCAGTTCTTTTTTACTTTAAAAGGAGGCTTCATATATTTACATTTCTATTACAAAAAAAATAGATTTTCCCTGAAGATTGTCTGTATGTCAACGTATCTTTATATCAATAGTGTCAACAGATGTCAATACCAGTGACCCCAAAAGCACAGTACCTGATTAGTGGATTTCATGAGGATATAGTTGGTGACCTTCCCAAAAGGGAGACCCAGGTTAATGACATCATTCTCTGTGCAGCTTCCCTCAGGGAGGTTGCAGATGTGAACAACTCGACCCAGTGTGGATTTCCTCTGAGGAAACTGGGGAAAAAACAACTCAAAGTGATGTTTTTATCTTAGATATTCCAGCCACCAGATAAGACCTTGTATTTCTGAAAAAAAAAAAAATTAAATGTTCTGTTCTGCATACCTGTTATTAAGGACAAATATCCTTCCTTTAAAAACTTGTATTTTAACATCCTGGTTTAGAAATACAAATGGCAAGGGAAATGTTTAATTGCAGTGCAGTTTGGAACGGAGTCTCCATCCCTGGACAAGTCCAGAGAGGATTTCTAGAAGAGATTCTCTCACGCAAACAGGATTCATGACATTGCTGCAGAAGGCAGCACTGTATTCAGCCTCAGCAAGAGTTTGGAGGCCCCTCAGTGTGGAAACAGAGGGTGCCCCTGCCATGTAGAGGTCTCAGCCCCTCCTGACAAGCTCCCTATGGGGCCAGTACCCCTCTGGTACACCAGCACGATCCCTGCGGCTCCTCTGCCAAGTCACACACTCTTCCCCAGCCCATCTGCGTCTGCCTGTCCCACTGGAGGCTCTGTGCCCTCCCCACACACAAAGGCACCACACTGCCACAGCCAAGTAGAAACCCCTCAGCTGACAATTTGCAAGCAATGCACCAAAAAAATTAGTGTTTTCAAGTATTCCATAAACACTCATTTATGTTGTGCTGGTGGTACCTACGGACTGAAATGGATGCTCACTGCCATCCCTGCAGAACAAAAGGACATGAGAAATCACTTTAGGTGCCCACAGAAGTGTTCAGGTAGAAGTATTAAAACCTTCTTCTGCTCTGGTGGAACAGCCTGGGCTGGGGCTGAAAGTGAACCCATTTAACTTGTGAGGGGACAAACAGCTGTACCTCAGGTTGGAAAGCCTACTACTTTCCCTCTTCCTTGCAGTAACACACAGCAGGAGGGACTTCTCCCTCCAGGGTATAGTGACCACTGGACGTGCAGAGGCAGAGGTCCCACTGGGCTGGCACAGCACACAGTGCCAGTGCAGTAATCACTTCCCAAGGGTGGAAGTCTATTTTGGAGTGGTGGGGCAGTTCCCAAAGAGCCGCCCATCTCCCTGACATGGAAAGCAGGCTCTACGCTCCTTGTGCAAAGAGGCATCAGGGTATACTCAGAGAGGAACATAACTTACCCCAGCTAATGACAGACAGAACATCACTCACATACGATTAAGTCTTCCCAGACTACTTCCCTGTTTATGACCTCTGCTGTTAGGATTTTACTAGAATTGTGCCATTCAAGGGAAGACGCAAATCATGTAATCTTGTGGGATCAAGTTCACCAGAGCTATCACAAATGTTTGGCTTGTCAGCAAGTTCACAAGTTAGAGAGCTAATGTTGTCTTATTTACACCTTCATCCCATAACCTCCCCCTGAGGCTTCACCACTTAACCATTTATGCATTTTTACTGCAGCAGGACCCTGCATTATACAGTGGTCTCCTATTTAGTTTGCACCTTCTAGAGACTGGCCAAGTACATAAAGTAAGTCAAAAAAGTGCCAAAGTCCAGAATCAATATATTTTCTCTAGCAGGAAAATAACAGATCTGATCTTGAAAAAGATGAAGCAACTCAGCTCCATTTGAACAGAAAAGGAAGGGATGGCTGTGTGCATCTGGCAACGCAGCCTGTCATGCACAGCAGAAGACGACAACTACAATTAGCAGAGGAAAAGGAAACTTTCCTGACAGCAAATGCAGTCTCGGTGTAGGAACATCCCTGATCACCTGGCACCTTCCATTTTTTTTGTTAGATCTGTTAAGAGATGGCACATTAAGAGTCTGTGGGACTGGGAAGACTTGGCTGTTCCATAGGTAGGCTCCAGAGCCTGCATTCGGACACGCACTCAGCAGCACATTAAATCAAATGACTGTAAGAGGTTACCACCTCCCCACAATTGGCAGTGGCTTAAATTAAAATGCTGGGCCATACATGTGCTGTAATTCATGGTTAAGAAGGGGTCACATACTCACACCAAAAATTGGTGGGCTGTACCAGGCAATAATCTTGTCAGCTGATTGAAGTTAAATTGGATGCATTAATTAAATAGAGCTGTAAATCACAGCCAGAAAATTAATATACACCTTCCATATCTTCAGTCAGGAAGTTAGAGGAGCTGCTGTGTATCAAGTGTTGAATGCAATTTTCAGTAAGATTGTAAGTTAACCTTATTTGCAGCTGATGCCTACAGGGGTGTTACCGATGCAATTGGACAGCTACTACAAAAATAATTTGATGTACAGCAGTGAAATGCAGGTCATACCATTTGCCACATTATTTCAATAATCCAATTTGCTTCTTTTAATTACAGCTTCTTAGTTGTTTGTTTGTTGTTTTTTTTTTTTTAATTTTCTGCTTTTTAAATCCTTTATCCCTTTCCTGATCTTCATATTAATCTTTTCCAACAATAATAAGAAACCAACAGTCCCACCCTTCCAGTGCTAATGGCTCTCCGTGCCCGAATGAAGACTTGAAGTGCTGCATTTGCCTTTTGAAGAGGGACAGAGTTATTTGCAGATGGACAGCACTGAGCAAGCTCTTCCAGAAATCTGAACACTTTGTTTATGATTACATGCAGGGTCAAGTATAATCTTCCACTGCTCAGCTAAATGGCAGCAGCTTAGCTGAAAGTGAATACTGCCGTGCAAAGGTGTAATAAATTATAAGCCACCTGGGTTGTGGAGTGAATGACAGCTGGCAAACTCAATCTTAACACCTCTAATATAGCTCCCTGTCCACCCAATGAGCTTCTGAAGAAAGAGAGGATTTACAGCGCCCAGGAAAATCAAAGTTATTGTTTCTTTTATCTCTCATAGTGTCACACGTCATTCAGAATGAGGACTTCTGCAGGCAGCTTAAATGATAAATAGTGACAGATTCTAAGGAGAAATGATACTGGTATTAGCAGTAATTTCATTTGTTGTGAGGTTGACAGGCACGATGAAAAGGAACATTCCTCTGCACCCGCTGCTACTCCACCTCTGACCTTGGAGGCAGCTGTCATGAGCAGCTCTGCTCTTTGCTCCCCTGCTCACACAGTGTCTGTGACAGGCAGAAGCTAAACCCCTTAAAATAACCTCAAGCATAGCAAAACCACACAGTAGAAAATTGGCTGGGTTAAACAGATCTGGGTGATGTTTCTCTTAACAATGCCTGATGGGAACTGGAGTGGCACAGGAACACAACTCAGCCTAGCTTTGCAGAGTATCTGAGACCACATCAGGATATACACACAAAAGCTAACAAGGTGAAAACCAGAACCCCTGGATTACTGCTGCTATTCTGTGAATGCCCTAACATGAGTCCTTGATATCTCCAGCTTTAATTGTAGCTTTCCGATATATGTTGAACTTCATATTAACCCTGACAACTTTATACCTCCATTATGTATAAGTTTTCCTTCTATTTGCCTTATTTTTTTTTCTTTTTTTTTTTCTCTCTTCCTTTTAAAATAATTTAGCTTTGTTTGAGTAAAAACCACTTTTAATGTTATCCTTATTTTCTGGGCTAGGAATTCAAGTGTGCATTAGACCAATAAAACTGAAGGCTTGTGTTGAATGCACGAGGAGACTAATAACCCTGAACTGCAGAAGGCTGCACACCAAAGCAAACTTGCTGAAAGGATACCAGTGGCAGCAGATGACACAAATAGTACAAGAAAATAAACTAAGAGCACGTTAGTGAAGCTGCAACTGTTATCTTTGCTGGTACTGCAACCTGTGAGAAGGACCCCAGCATGGGACAGACAGAGAGTGACGGCTACAAAAAAATAATCGGAGAGATAGAGGGCTGCTTGCTGGGGTCAATATTCAGAGTAAGTAAAAACTAATCCAAATACTCTTTCCAAGCTGAAGCTGACCCTCCTGAGTCGAAAAGACTCAGAAAATGTGGGGGAAATGACATTAGGATACACACAAACCCACTTACCTCACCCTAAATCTCCCTAGTAATTAAAATCTTTTAGCACTGGAGAAAAATACTACAATCAGGTTCTGAATTAGTCAAAATCAAAAGCATGAAAGACCTTTAGAAAATTCAAAATAACAGGCTGAATATTTAGATTATTGTCTAAAAGGAAGCCTTCATGGTTTTAATTCTGGTAAGCAGAAGTGGCTTCTACAAGAATCTCGACATGGAGATCAGTTTTCTTAGGTACTCACTCTTACCCCTGGCGGAGGAGAAGAAAACGTGGGACCTGGCTGGCCAAAGGGTCTTGCTGACGTGTTGACAAAAGATGCGCCGACATTTGGTGGATAATCTAAATAATGGATTACACACAGTTTATGAAAATCTTGGCTCATATTAATTCCATTAGCATGCTCAGTAAGCAATGCCCCATTTACATAATAACTAATTTCATAGTCTCTACATCAAATTATACACTGTTTCGTTGTAGTGTGAAAACAAGTCATTGTTTGAAAGAAAATTAAATTCATACTTTGAAAGGCCCTGCACTGGCCTTTAGCCCTTCTGTGCACAACCTCTAAAAAGTTTTCCTTGGGAACGTGTATCACGTTTCCTTTTAAATGTCCGCTTTTCCCCAGAGACTGACTTCCCTTTCAATTAAATACAAGTGGGTTTAACCATTGCACCATTCACCTTCGATGTTAGGTGGATTGAAAACTGCTGCATTATTTGGTGATAACTGCAATGTTCCATCTGCTGAGCTTAACACACACCGGATACCAGTGCTGGAAAAGAAAGAAAATAACCTTAGGAGTATGCACAATGTGCCATAAATATTAAAGCACAAAAATGTTCAATTTAAAATTAAATATGAAAATATTTTTAATATTTTAGTATTAAATATTAAATTATTAGACTGTAAATTCCCAGTGTAAACCCACTGATGTAATGGATGCTGTTAGAAGTTCAGTTGGAAGAGTTTCTCTGAAATAATACTTACTTATCTGAAAAAGCCATACATTTTTGGATGTGGAGACTTCCCTTAATGTGCTGATCCCAATCCTACATTGAAACAAAGAGATGATGAGCACTAGAAAAATCCTGAGACAAAATTACAAGAGATTGATTCTCCATTCAGTTTACCTTATTCTAATACTGAGATGCTGAAGACCAAACTGTGTGATGCTGGGGCCAAGTGCACCTTCACCCAATGCATTTACTGACTCATTATTTGTAGGTTAAATTATCAGTTACTTTACAAAAGGAGAGTTTCTCTGTATTAGTTTTTTAATATGGTATGTTTCTATTAATTCAGTTATTTTGTTCTAGCTAAAGAGCTCGTCCTGTAAGGCACTGAGCAGCTTTGGCTCTTGAAATGTCCATAAAGAGGGTGCTCAGCACACAGGGCAGCCAGCATAGTGCTTGTTCTTTTTAATAGATTAGCAAAATTTGTCAGAATACATTTAGCTGTTTACATTCCTTTGATCCAAATGAAGCAGTGTATTAAACACCCACAAATGGATCAACCAAAACTCACTGGAACATTTCCCCTGCCTTTTTTAAACGTTTAATAAAAATAATCAAATGCTCAGCATGCCTTAGATGGGGGCTAAGACCCCAGCTTAGAGGTCTCAGACCAGCTCTGTAGCTGCAGTAACCACAGCAAACCCTTTTGTAAGCAGCTGCTCAAAGAGTATAAAGGAAACATGAAAGAGCAAGTACATTCAAATGTCCCAAAGCCCTGGGGTGTGTAAGTATCAGGTACTATTTCATTTGCTGGCCATCCTCCTTCTTATATAAACGCTGTTGTAATGCTTTTGTCAGGCCACCGCCAGCATGAAAACACATGCCTTGGCGGTTAAGTGACGGTCCTGCGATGCGGTGGAAAAGGTTGGGAGGATTTGTGGAGGAGGGCTCACCAGGAGGCCAGAACAACCCCAACCAGGGCCCACAAATGGCTGTGGGGCTCAGAGGGCCACATAAGTGGCCTTGTGCAGACCTGACCTATATAACTTGACCTAGCATACGAGTTCTCTGGGCAACTGGGAAGCTGCTTTTTGAGGGTGAGGTTGAATCTGAGCAGACTTGGCAGTATGAAGTGAGAAGTGGGAGCGTGATCTGAACTACTTGTGCTGAACAGCTTCTTGCTTCCAGAACAAAGTTGCTCAGGACCCCAAGTCCTACGTTTTCTTTAGAGATACTACAAGAAGGAAGAGATTCCAACAGAAGAATTATGAAAATAATTTTATCAAAATGCACTGTTTACTTTAAGCAAGCTGCTTCCACAAAGCTGTGAGAAGGGAGCCTTTGGGATCAAAAATGTAAAGATAAAGAGACAAGCAGAAGAAACCACAGATGTGCGGTTACAATACCAGCTTGAGAAGCAGGGGATCAGCTTCAAGCTCCTCCTCCCTTCGCTTTGGGCCCATGAGATGAGCTGTGACCCCAGCCTGGACCTCACTTTTCTCACGCCAGTGCTGTAATCTCTCCATCTTTCACAGCGAGATGTGGAACACAACCAGATCTCAAAACCCCAGTAATTGCCGTGAAACAGATGTACGACACCCTACGCAAAACTATGGCTCTTTGTTTCCACTTCTCTCGGGGCACCTCCATCGTGATGGACAAGGGCGGCAATGCGGTGGCAGGAGCCGGCGGCCAGATCAATCACCAGGCAGCCGGTTCAAGGGTCCAGACCATGTCCGAGGGGGACCTTAAAACCACTCACTCACCTTCAGATCGAAGATCTTCTTGTCGCAGAGGGCGCAGACGTGGGGGAAGTGAAGGGGGGCCGTGCCACGGAGGTCGCCCACCTGGTGCGGCGGCAGGGAGCGGGCGGG